ATAAACAATTGGACGGTCAAAAATTTTTAATTATTTTTTTTTTAAACTCAGCAAAAATACATTAAAAGACTGTTAGTTTTTTTAAAGCTTCTGACAGTTAGTTTTTTTGTATAACTAAGAAACTGGTACAGAACTACAGAAAGCGTATACAATCCATGTTAATTATCCAATTTTTAATTGAATTTATCTCGGGTTATAGACGGCCAATCGACTTCAAATTTTAAGGATAATTGTATTGTCATGTCCCTAATATGTATCCAAAAATTTAAAATTTTCTGATGGTATGCTTACAGCATGACAACTACCTTAAAGTTTGTTTATTTTTCTCTGATCAGAATATAATTTGTCATTCTTGTCTCCAGCCTTACTTACTTGATTCTATACAGTCTGTATAATATATATAATATATGGAATATATATATAATATATATAATATTAGGGTGTTTTTGGGCGATATTTTTTTCTTTCTGTCCTACCTAAAAATATGATAATTTATAAAAAAAATAATAATTTCCTTTAAATATAAATTTACGTTAATAAAATAAATTTACTAGAAGTAAAACTTTTTTCATTTCTGAATTGGTGGTAACGTCCATGTTTGCTTATTAGCATTCGGAAATTGCTTCCTACGCATTGCCACGACTTGTAATAAGTAATAGTATTGTTTATGTTCTTCGTTATAAGTTAAACTTCGATTATACGATTCTATTAATTTAACTCCCTGTTCAGCAGTATCATTCACGACGTGGAAATTAATAAGAATTGTTAAACAGGTGTTATAATCTTTATCAGATTTCCATTGATCTGGATGTAATTTTAAAATTTCAGTGGGAAGTTGAAATTGTTCAAATAGAACTATCGACTTTCTTGATGCTAAATCGTAAAAATTTGTTGTAAAAAAAATTAATCTGGACTTTTTTGACATTAACACGTTTATTTTTATTTTAACTTCTGAGCTTACATTATGATCGAAAAGTGATAAACAAATAATTTTTTCCGACAAATACCAGAGATGAGTGCTAAATTTTTTTGATGCTGCTTCTGAAATTTTCCTATTAATTGTTTTATATTGCAAAACATTTTTTTAAAATTCCAAATCTTTTCGCGGAGCTTGAATTGACAAAGGCGCGCAATATAATGCTTTCATATACAATAATGTTATAAAAACACAGATATGACGCAGTCCTTCTTTTTCTACTCTGCTAAGTGGAAATTGTTCCTGGAACAGGTAAATTTTTAAATAAATGGCTTTCGAAAACCATTGCGCATGTGTGTTGGTCCAGGAGCTTTAAAAGTACTATTTCCTGTGAAGTAGCTCTCGATAGTCATCGTCATCGTCAGACATACGGTTCTTTTAAAAACAAAAAACCGAAAACACGGAGCAGATCCTGGAAAACCATCAATACATATAACGCCCGTGGAAACCTCAAGCAGAACATTTATCTCGTTAATTTGCGTGGCGTTTTGGTGGTTGTAATAGCTGGTTTCCATGCAGTTGGTAGTCTCTGTGTATCGTTGAGGTTTCTTGGTCCTGTGTCCGATGCTAGCCAACACCATTGTTTTTCAAAGTCAATTTCATGGGAAGTTTTTCGGACTTTTCAGCTAAGGAATATGTTTTTTTATTGCTTCAAGACTGCGTTACGATGTTCTTCACGTCTAACGTTGATACGTCTATTGGTATGTCCCATGTAGCTTCCGTCACAATTCGTACACCCCTTGTGCCTCCAACTCTATTTTTGGTTTGGAGTTTGGAAGTATTTGACCGATCTTTCTTGGGGCGGTAATTGTTGTCTCAATGTTATGTTTTTTGAGAACTTTGCCTATTCTCTCGGTTCTCCCTTTCACGTAGGGTAAGTAAGGCCTTCGAGGTTGGGAATTCCGTTGAGATGGTCCAGGAATTTCTTCAGTTCCGCTTTTCCGTGGGTCCAGATGATAAATGTGTCTTCTACGTACCGTAGCCATAACTTTGATTTTAGTGTTTTCGTTTCGATTGCTCGTACTTCTATGTCTTCCATGAATAAGTTGGCTATTGCTGGCGATATTGGGAAATTGACTTAAAAAAAAGCAAGGGTCTTGGCTAGCATCGAATACAGAACCAAACGTACCATCTGTGAAGCAATTGAAATAGAAAAATTTCCAAAAAACCTCAACACAAGAGTCGATACACAGAGACTAAGCTTACTGTTACGCATTAATTTATAAAAAAAAAATCATTTAAGTTTATATCTCCACAACGGCTACATACGCGATTTTAATTTTTCTTGCAAATTTGCACTATTTAAACAAATTTTTTGGAAGATTATATATTTTTTAAATATTTTATTGTTTCGACCTTTAATTGATGAAACTCCATGTTACTAATATATAACTGGATAAAAAACAAACACTGTTTTTGAGTTTCACGAATTTATTTAAATTTTATTTGACAATTGTTTCGCTAACACTGTAGCTTCTTCAGAAATGATTCATGTCCAGGTACAAAAAGGCAATTAAATAGCTTCCTAAAGTTTATTAATCAAATACACCCCAATATCAGATTTACAATGGAAGAAGAACTAAATAATCAAATTAACTTTTTAGATCTTACTATCCAAAAAAAGAATGATACTCACACATTTAAAATCTACCATAAACCTAGTTACAATAGTTCCTCAACTCCTTTTTCTCAAAAAGTATCAGCCTTTAATTCCATGATACAGACTTTTAAAAGTACCAATGACAGAATCCGATTTTCAAGATGAATTAAATTTAATTAAACAAATTGCAACGAACAATGGTTATAGCGCACAATTAATTAATAATATTTTAAGTAACAAAAAACTGAAAATGGCTATAAATCAAGTATTTCCAACACTAAAGAACCCTACAGCTACATATAACATTTTCACATACTTAGGTACTAAGACAAGACATGTGTCGAATTTCTTCAAAAAGAATAATATGCAAATAGCATTCAAACCCAACAACAATTTGAGTACATTTATAAAAAATAACAAAGACAAACCTAAGAAAGGCACGAAATCTGGAGACTACCAACTACAATGTCCAGATTGTCCAAAAACTTACATAGGACAAACAGGCCGCAAGTTTAAAACTAGAATTAATGAACATCGAAAATCTTTTATTAATCAAAAAATAGATTCAACGTTTGCTAACCATTTAATTCAAGAAAATCATTCATTTGATAATAATTTCAAAATTTTGCATGTTGAAAATAAGGGTACGAAGTTAAATTTACTGGAATCTTTGAAAATTAATAAATTAAAAAAATCTGATATTATTCTAAATGATCAAATAGAAACTAATAATTCCCCCCTGTTAAATTTATTCTAATATTATATAAGATAGAAAATCCCCAAAATTATTTTATTACAACTTTTGTTATACTTCGACAGGTAAAATAATTATACAGTACTGATATTTTATAAAAAAAACCCATTACCTGCAATAATTGTGTTATATAAGTTCGTATTAAGTAGAGTTTGAAATCATTTCTGAAGAAGCTACAGTGTTAGCAAAACAATTGTCAAATAAAATTTAAATAAATTCGTAAAACTCAAAAACAGTGTTTGTTTTTTATCCAGTTATATATATTTTTTAAGTTGAATACGCCATATGTACCAACGTGTATACAAAACTTGAGAAAGATATATGGCATTTGGGGAACATAATTAAACAATTGGGTATTTCTCAAACGCTAAAAATCCACATAATTTTAAATCATTTACATGAAACAGTTGCGTTTCTTGGATGCGGGCTGGGAGAGTCAGTCCACAGAAAATTTCTAATAATATGGAACAGGTATAAAATAAATTCAATTGAGAACACTCAGTATCGGAAAAATGTTATTGAAGGAATTTTCCTCAAATATTTGTTAAACTGAAGCTGTTGCATTTTTCTTGAAATTGTTTTTTGTTATTTCTACAGACACAATTAATTGGTTAAGGTGTATATAGAATAATTATTTTAAGTTAATATATTGTAATGAAATGTTATTATTTAGCCTAGTTATCAGATATTTGTTTACAGCTGAGAATTAAGATGTTTTTTGATACTGATTACTAAAAAAAAATAACACAGAATTTTAATATACTAGTATAGCCTTTTTCTAACAACTACAAAAACAAAAAACAAGGAAAGAAGCAGGTTCGATTTTAATATTAGTAGATATGTTTTTAGGAATGTGTCCTTATTTCAAATGTGTCGATAGTTTTTCTTGCCACTAAAGTAAAACCTGTGGACCCTTCAGTGAAACCGTGTATAGTATTTCTCATGCATTTAATTACATAATTAAGAAATTTTAAAATAAATAAAAATGATGTAGATAAAATGGGTCAAACCTCCTACAGCTTATATAATTTATTTAATTATACAGATTTACACGGTTTTGAACCCTATCAACTAAAGGTGTTTTTAAAGTAATTTTTCTACTTTTATTATGGAATATGATCGTTCTAATATCACTTTTATCTATGGAATGACATATATTCCGTAAAGTGTTACAGAATGAAATATTCTATCATCTGATGACAGAATAAATATTCGTGGCGACATCTCTGTTTTTAATATCTAACAAATTTTAGACCGATCCAACCTCACTTTCTTCCAATTAAATTATTTGTCTATGGTATTTTTTGGAAACGTAGAAAAAGTATAGTCTGAAACACGTTTGGAATTGCATATTCCCCTCTCGTGAAACCGTCAAACTCGCCTTCGGCTCGTATGACAAACTTTTCACTTAAGCGGAATATGCCGTATTCCAAACTTGTTACAGAATATACTATTATATATTTGATATGCACTGCATTGGAATGGCGCCGTTTTTTGGGAAAACTAATGTTCTTCAAATTTTAATTATTTAAGTCTACCAAATTCACCTAATTTATTCATAAAAATAATTTTCGTTTTTCGAAAATTTAGTAATGGTCACCACTATCTCTGTATATTATTTTAATGTGATATTTTTTACAGTATAAGAAAATAATACTATAAAAGAAAAAATGGAGGATGAAACAAATGTTATTTCTACCACTTCAACGCCAGGCGCATTTGACAACAGCTATTATTTTTGTATTTGCAATCATAATGATCTAGTGCCAATGCAAGATGTTGTAGAAAACATTGTTTATACTGAGCCCCTTGGACTTACCATAAATCATGTTCAAAAAGAATATACAATTTCTTCAAAATCAAACAGAATGCCAAACAAAAGATTGGTTAACAAACTGCAAAATGTAATAGATGAAATTGGGGCAAAAACTAGGCTTCAAGTTCTTGCATTTATCGCAGAAGGAAATGCAAATAGTCAGTAAGTTCTTAATATCCTTCTTTTATTATATTATATTATGTATAGTATCATGTATTTCAGCAATAACTTTTTACATGCTAACATTTAAAAAATAATGTTTTCTTATAGGGTTGTAAGAGCTGATATGTATGGTTCAGACATATTAAAAAGAGTAATTCATCCATATAAAGAATTGATGTTTGCGGATTTTTTTAACATTTTAAAAAGCAATGAGGAAGTTACTGAAAAAAATCCAGTGGGTTTATTTACCTTGCCTCAACTAAATATTGATGGGTATCCTATACCATTGACTAAATTAACACAAGCACAATTGAGATCGTTTATACCCGTGATGATGAAGTACGCGACAGGACGAGCAAAACCAGGCTGGGGAAAAATTAATCTAAAACCAGATTGGTGGCCAGAACGAGTTCCCTTTAAAAATGTGAGAATGGATATCAGAAGCGAGGAGGAAAAGTTGTTATTGCCATGGACGGAAGCCTTAAGATTGGTGGTTTCATCTTGTTATAAATTCTTTGATAGGGAGGATTTGCTTAATACGGATGTTAAGTTAATTTAGAATATATTTTAAAGTTTTAATTATAAGGGTTGTTGCAGTAACCATTCATCAAAAAACACTAACCATTGATGCGCAGAACATTAATCTGTGCAATAATCAAATATACAATGTCCATGTCAGTGTCAGTTTATCATTTAAAATCCTATAATTTTTAATAAAACATTACGGGATACTTTGACAATAGTTGGTTTTGAATTAATAAGTGGATTATTGTTCTGCACATCAATGGTTACTGTTTTATTTTTTCCGTGTACCTACGTTTGGGACAATAAAATCCAATGCGTAATACTAAAGTAGGAACCCTATTTTAGTCTTGCGCATGTCCCTGACTGGCAAAATGCTACGTAGTAACAAACCTATTATTTTAAGTCTATATATTTTTTTTTGGTTCTCACGGTTTAACGGTTTTTTAATATGTTGAATCATCTACAGTTTTGTCTTAGAGGTCTTACCCACGCCACACCGATGTTTAGTTTTAGCAAAGCATTGCGTGCAGAATCTACCATAAGTGTTCCTGTAGTATATCAGTTTTAAGGAATCAAAAAAATGTAATTTTTGAAATTTATGTATTAAGTATTATAAATAAATAATTAAAAACGAAACTAAATTAGAGTTATTAAATATTATTTCTCATCTACGGAATCTATAAGAGAATTATTTAGAAACGGATTCTATAAGAGAATTTAGAAACGGTTAATGTTAATATTTTTTTAATATACCTAAAAAAAATTGAAATTAAACTCATTGGAAATGCAATGCTTTTTTGTATAATTTTATGTTAAAATGTCTTGGTTTTAAGCGTTATGTGACATAGTAGTGTATGTTAAAAAAACCTTTTATTTATATTTAATATAGCGGTATAAATCTGTATTAAAATACGTATGTTGGAAGAACGTAAGAAATATTTATTAAAATACGTTATTAAATATATAAAGGATGTTTTTTTTCAGAGGTTTGAACTTTAAAATGAAATAAAGCACATAAAAATCATAGAAATGGCCATGATATTAGCTTTATTAAAAAGATAATTTTATGCCATTTGTTTAAATATGATTTTGTGCGGCTGGCTAGTGAATGGGCCAAAAACAAGATTGCTCTTAATCCTCATCTTCCCCATATTTTTTGTTTAGCACGATTACCTTAGAAATTTGAAACAGCTCGGAACATGATGACAATACAGTCTAGTTACTCAATATTGTAATTTGTTTATAAATGGCCACCGCTCCGAAATTACCTTTTTCTTCACAACTTGATATGGATATCAAATGAAAGAGTTTGACGAGAAGGTGAGTGACGTCATGCAAATGAATTTGTTTCTCTAGCAGAATACATGTACTTACGTGACGTTAATCAAATTTCAATATGACGGACTAAGGTGCCTATTCTCTTTCTTGTTTATAAATATCGCTTTCTTAGATGTAGATCCTAACGACAACCCAAACATCACCTATGTAATGGGTATTCTGTTTCGCGTCTCGTTCTCAACAGCGAAACTTTTTTTAGGACAGATAGTATCTTAATGTTATAACCTAAAATTGTTTTATTATATTTTGTTTCAATTCAATTTTCGGCTATAAAAATATTAAAATGTGTATATTTAAAGAACTTGAAATCAACGAATTTTTGAGGAAGTCAGAAAATTTACAAATTTAAAAAAATACTTAAAAAAACTTTGGATGAAACTGAATTCTTTTGGCTGGGCCAATTTTTTAGTTTTTTAACATAATTTTAGTGACTAGTAAGCCAACGTGAGAAAATGGTAAGGAAACTAGGCATTTCTCATACGGAGACCGGAAATATCGGGGAGCCAGAAAAACCAATAAGGAAAGTTAGTGGTGAAGAAATGACTAATTCTTAAACTTGGCATTGACCTTTAACGCCAACACAGGCTGATAATCTGTTAGGCCAAGAGAAAGTCTAACTTAAAGTCTGATGAGTAGCAAAGTTGTAAAGGTTTTAAATTAGACAAAAAAGTTTTTGCTTTCATTTGAAGAAAAACTTTTAGATAAGGAAGAGTTTTAGAGTTTGTAGATACATTTTTTTGTATTTTATTTGTTTTTATATTTTTGTTGAACTCATTTCTTTTTATTAGAGTTTTTAATAATAAAAATGTAAGCCTAATAAATAATCTAATTATTTAATAATATTATTTATGTAGGACCGGTAGATGGAGCAATAATAGACGAGAAGCAGTAAATAGGTAGCGACGTAGTTTTATGCAGTATTGATAAATTTAAATTATTTTCGTTTATTTTAATCTTAAATAAAGATTCTAAATTTAATATATTTTGTTTTTTAGTAAAATATTTTGTATTTTACCAATATAATAGCTTTTTATGTAATTTGTCCTATTCTTAATAAATATAAAAATGTCATCAAGATGCTAAAAACCACTTAGTGAATACCGGAATAACATTCTAAAAACGGCAATTGAAGTAGCTCTTAGATTCGACTTCGTCATAATCGTGGGAGAGGACACGGATCTGCTCGTGTTGATGTGCGCACTTTTAAAAAATCTCAAAAATGCTTACTTTCGTAACGTTGGAAAGGGGCAAGCGCATCGAAAATGTATTCCACGAGCAGTTTTAAACATAAAGTTCTATTGCACATACTTTTCATGCACGTACTAGGGATGGGATACCATGTCCGCGATTTGCGGAATGGGGAAGAAAAAAATCTTCGAGAAGAAATAAAATTATTAAAAAAAACACTACCGAATACCCACAACTGACTTTGTCGTAAATAAAGTATAGGGTGCTTTTTTTTTACTACTATTTTTATTTTTTCGCTCCCAACTCAAAATCTTGTTGAAAATTTACAAAAAAAAATTCCCTGAAAATTTGAGCTTTTAATATTAACTCAAAGTACTCGACCAAAGCGTATAAAGATTTCCCATTTAAAATACACGTAAACTTTGATTATTGTTTTTTAAATATCTATATCTCAGCCGCATTTTATGCTATTGGATTGTTTCAAAAAAGGATTTACTCGTAATCAAAAGTTCTACAAAAATGCTTCATGTGCCATAGCTGTAATCTGCACCTGTAGGATGGTACGGGTCACTAAATCTTATTTTAGTGAAAAATTATCATATTTTTAAAGATATTTTAAATGTGACTGGATTCTTCATAAAAATGTAAAGGGCAAACTTGTAGAAAATTTAATTTTCTTTAAAAAAGGTCTTATCAGTTGAATCGCTAAGATTGATATTTGTTGAGATATAAAGCGTTTCCATTGACATTTTATGAAATTTTCAGGATTTTCGTACCAAACTTATTATAAATGATGATTTTCAATTGTTTCCCTATTAAAAATGCCATATAGAAACACAAAATAAAAATCTATCTGGTTCAATATAGGAATTTGAAACAGGCATTGCACTATTGAACCAGATAGAATTCCATACCTGGAAAACCATATAGAAAAGTGATTTCTATATGGATTGCCATATAGGTTCATATTGCTCTATCTGGCCCAATATGGTTTGGATGTGAAAAAATTATTACCTTATACAGGGTGTCCTGAAATTAGTGCACCATACTTTAACAGCAGATTCTACGTGCAAAAATAAGAAAAAAGTCCCTATAAATATAGGTCGAGAAATGCCTCCTAAGGGAGCTACAGCCCCCGAAAAGGGAGCCCCTGAAGATGGTTTTTATCTAATATAAATAAAAAAGTAAAAACACCCTGTCACTTACTACATGAAACTGTCACCTGTCTTAAATTATTTTATTTTTTCCTAAACATGGCAGCCGTATTCCAAGGACCACGCGAGTCCATTTCTATGGTTGTGATTTAATTGTGAATTTTTATGCCATGTAAAATAATTTTCAAATCGATTTTATGCGAAAACGGTGTATGTTATCGAAGTTCAACAAGATGACCTTATTTATGTGCAAAACTCTAAAATTTTATAATCTGACACCAAATTCTGGTACAAGATACGTACAAAAAAGTTAAGGTGGTTTTAACCCTACTTCCTATCAATCTGACCCAAACCACATAAAATTTTTTAAATTGTTATTGTTACGTCTTATTGGTCATAAAAAAGTTTAATTAATTCCCCAAATTTCATTTTTATATTTTTAACGGTTTTGGAGATATTAAATAAAAACCATCTTCAGGGGCTTTCCTTTTGGGGGCTGTAGCTTCCTTAAGAGGCATTTCTTGACCTATGTTTATAGGGACTTTTTTTCTTATTTTTGCACGTATAATCTGCTGTTAAAGTATGGTGCACTAATTTCAGGACACCCTGTATATCCATATTTAACCATATAGGGAAATCTATATGGTTTAATATGCAATTTTTGTTTAAATATATAAAACATATTAAACCATATAGATTCCAAAGTGTAAACCAGGTCGTTCCATATGGGACATATAGAACTATATAAATCCATATTAGTTTCCTTATCTGGATCAATATGGATTCTATAGGGCATTTTTAATAGGGTTATCAGTACGATTTCATGTAATTACGTTTTTTCTACAGTCGGGTGATTAGAGAAAAACAAATAACTAAAACAATCAAGCATAATTATTAATAAAATAACATGTATGTAATACAGCTCGTTATATCAATTTTTAGGTTATATATATCTTTTCTCTTTAAAGATATGTTATTAATCATTATGCTTCATTGTTTGAGTTATTTATTTTTCTCTAATCACCCGACTGTAGAAAAAACGTAATTAGATGAAATTGTACTGATAAACAATTAAAAATCATCATTTATAAAAAGTTTCATACGAAAATCCTAAAAATTTCATAAATTGTCAATGTAAACGCTTTATATCTCAACAAATATCAATCTTAGCGATTCAACTGATAAGACCTTTTTTAAAGAAAATTAAATTTTCTACAAGTTTGTCCATTTTTTCAAAGAATCCAGTCACTTTTGAAATATCTTCAAAAATATGAGAATTTTTCACTAAAATAAGATTTAATGACCGTACCATCCTACAGGTGCAGATTACAGCTATGGCACATAAAGCATTTTT